ATGGGTGGGATGGGATAGGATGGGATGGGATGGGATGGGATGGGGTCGGATGGGATGGGAGACGCGAGGCCCGGCACCTGCTGGATGCAGAACTTCCGCACGGTGTAGTCCACCAGGACGGTCACGTCCTCCACGGACACTCGGATGTTCCCGTATGTCCAGCAGCCCTGATCCGGCCAGTACTGAGCACACTTACACTGCGGGGAGAGAACACGGGCGCAGGTGAGCTCTGGTCCCTCGCAAGCCTGGGACCGGCTCCAAGACATGCCCACGGGCATGAGATGGGCCAGATATGGACCAAGTTGGGTGGGATACAAGCCCATGAAGCCTTCTGGCACCTACCTCTTTCCTCTCTTTGAGGTTGGTCACCATGACAATTGTTGCTGTGTTTTGCTCCCAAATCATCCTCCAAAAATCGTTCACGGTTTCTTCCTTTGGTCCTAAGGGGAAGGTAAAGAGAAATGTGGTCTTTGGGACCAACCCCTCCAGCTCTTAGACCGAAACCGAGCACATGAAGTCACACGTCGTGGATGACGCAACACAAGTTTTGCCAATAGATGCCAGCACAGGAGGTGCTCTGGTGTCTGGGCACGTTGTCTAACCCAAGGAACAGCCCTACCACACAATAGCTGGGCTTTTTGGATATGTTTTATCATCAGGAATTCCATTTTTAGCCCAAGAAGGAGAAATCAGACAAACGGAGCACGGAAAGGACTTGCCCAAGGTCACCCAGGGAAATCACGGCCATCTCAGTCCGCAGAACTCCTGCCCTGGGGACTTAGGCTTTAACCATGGGATCCCACTTCAACGTGGCACAAGAATAGTTACCTGCTGCCTGCCAGACAAGGAGCTGACTCAGCCTAGACCTCCCTTGCCAAGCCCAAGGCTAAGGGCGAGCCTGGAGAATAGCAGAGCCAGAGCTTTACCCCAGCCTGATACCACTGACGGACCTGATCCAGCCTTCCTTCTCCAGCAAGAGCCCGGCAAACTGGCAGGTGAGGTCCTAAACCGCTTCCAAGCCATGAGAGGAAATGCAAACCACCTCCCATAGGCAAGTAACCCCCTTCTGCTGACATGAACCCCCCTGAGAGTGGGCATCTTGCTTTTAGGGATGTGTTTGGACCAGTACAAGGGAAGTAAGAGAGCTGGAGGGCTACGGATGGCGCATGCAAGCTGGTGATGCTCTAGCTGGGGGCAGCTGAGCTGGGGAAGGCTCGCGATGCTTGTTGCTCTCAGTAGCTGATAGTCCTGTCTTGCCTCTGAAGACCACAGAGAAATTTCTCTCCAAGGGCACGAGCCCACTTTCTTGTCGGCTGACGTTTAAAAAGCAGCAGAAATGAAACCAGACCAGTGTGGGGCGCTCCGTAGTACCAGATTTGGGGAATTCCATGCATCAGTACGGGCTTGGGGTGGACCTGCTGGAGAGCAGCTCTGCGGAGAGGGACTGGGAGTGCTGGGGGATGACAAGTTGACTCTGAGCCAGCAGTGTGCCCTGGCTGCCAAGAAGGCCAATGGCATCCTGGGGTGCATCAAGAGGCGTGTG